CCACGTGTCTGTTGACGTGATTGCGGTTCAGATGCATCCAGACTTGACCGTGAAAGTGGATAGATATATCCATGATGAAAGACCTTGTGCGATTATGGTCTCAGTTTGGCGACATCATCTCGTATATTACTATTGGTGTGAGTTTCGCACAGATACGTCTTTACCCGGACGTGACCGTGAGACGTGACCGTGATGAAAGTTCTTGTGCGGTTGTGGCCTCGGGGTTTACCGACACCATCTCGTACATTACTATTGGAGTACCGTGCACGTGTGCGTTGCTCACACATACGTCTTCACCCGGACTTGACCGTAAAAGCGGTCAGATACATCCATGATGAAAGTCCTTGTGCGATTATGGCCTCAGCTTAGCGACATCATCTTGTACATTACTATTGGAGCACGTGTGCGTTGCTCACAGAAACGTGTTCACCCGGACTTGATTGTAAAAGCGGTCAGATACATCCATGGTGAAAATCCTTGTGCGATTATGGCCTCAGTTTAGCGACATCATCTTGCACTTCACTGTTGGAGCGCTTGTGCGTTTCGCACAGATACGTCCCCCTGTAATTATCATCGCCGTATCTGTATGTAAAGTTGGGCTACATATAATTACTGCCGTCTTCACCCGAACAGAACGGCCGGTCATTGTAGTTGCATTTGCGAGGAGTTGCGGTGCAGATACAGTGGTAATGACCGGGCGTTTTATTCGGGGGAAGACGGTAGGTGTACTACCCATGTTGTCTGCTTGTCCCTCTTTGGAATGCGAGTCTATTCTGGTGGAGGGCATAATCACATTACGTCTAATAGTCGTCACTGTATCCGAAATATTGAAAAATTGAAAATGCTGGGCCATAAGATACATCCCCGGCGAAGGGCTTGTATGAGTTTGCCCTGTGAGAGATTCTGTTTTACTGCAGTTGCTGTAATAGCTGTGGCACGGAAACCTGTTGACGGAAATGGGAATCCCAATTCTGAGGGGGAAAAAAAAGAATCGACAGTTCTGGCACGGAAACTTGTGCCCTTCCCAGCCTTCAATGTTTTATTCAGATGGAAATTTGAATTTTGAAGGGGGGCGGGGGGGGGGTGCGGGAAGGGGGCACCCAGGGCGCAGTCACGAAAACAGTTTCAAAAAGCATTTAGGAATTCCTCGAGCATAACACGTCCCCACCAGACCCTAAAGCTAGCTTGTATACAGTCGACATTTTCGGCGTTTTGCCTAAACTGAAACGGTTTTCACCTCTTTGCAGCAGCAGATGCAGATCCCAGGGCTCGATCCCTAGACCTTCCCCCACCTGTGTACAGTACCTGTGTAGACCCCGAGAGTTGAACCTGTGACCTGTGTATTCGTAAACAGTTGGTAGGCTGTATAGGTCCGTAGGTAGCAGGGGTTCGATCTGTAGACCTGTAGAATAGAAGTCTTAGCGAGTTCCAGAAGTCCGAGCTGTAGTCCTTCTAGAAGGTCAGCAAGTGGGCAAGTGGGCAAGTGATGAGTCAAGTGGTGGACAAACTGCAGTGCAATTGCAGTACGACGACGGTAGGTTAGCAGTGAGTCCCCACTCAGTCAGCGGTAAGGTCCGGTTCAGCAAGTACCGCAAGGGACTGTGAGCACCATGGGCCGATGGCAAAGGGCAGACCAACGAGTTTCAGAAGTATAAATCAAGAGGTCCCTTGAGCACCATGGGCCGATGGCAAAGGGCAGACCAACGAGTTTCAGAAGTATAAATCAAGAGGCAGCGCCCAGCCATTCATTCATTCTTGCGTGAGCCATGCGGAAACGCTGCCACAGTTTTTGTGCAAGGAGGTCTGCAGTGAGCCCGGAGCAGAAGGGGGCGAGAGAGGAGCGTAGCATATCTATAGGGTAGTTGCAGCCATAGCCGCCATAGCTAGAGTTAGTGTGAAGTGTGTGTCTGTATGTGTGCGTGTTCAGAGGGATGCGTGTGGGATATCCAGGGTGATCCGGTGTATGTGAACAGTGAGTTGTTTGGGCGCTGAGTCGCCATAGCCAATTGAAAGTGAACTCGTATCTGGATGCCATATCTATGAGTTTTGTGTGGCCGCATGTTGCCAGTTTGCTGCGCTACTGTTTACATGCATGAAAAGTGTGAATGAAAGCGAGTCTGATTGCAAAACTGCGTTTTGAAACTCTAACCGTGACTGGCGGGGGAACATTTGTTGGCATTTGCTGCTTCGAATCATTGATTGAAGCGGACATCCGAATTTTGAGGATATGAACAGAAAAACTGTCGTGGCTGCTGTAGGTGCAGTTCAGGGGCAAGGTCCCAGTAGCAAAGAGGATTGGGTTTTGTGCGCCTGAATCTGGACTGGTTTGTGGAGAGGTCCAGAAGACAGCGATTGATTGATCTGCTTTTCTGCAGCTTCGCAGCGCAAAACATGTCCATATTCCTTTTTTCCATCTTCCTTTTTTCTCTGGTGTTTTTGCAAGTGCGACCTCCCGTCAGGGCAGCGTATAGCACACACGAAATCCAAGAGCAGGATCCTTGTCCTTCCCTCCCCCACCCCCTCCCCTTCAACCCCTCCCCCCCACCGTCCTTCTTCCCTACCCCGAATGATTAGACCAGGTTCTCCGTGTTTCACATGAGATCTAAATTGAAAGAGGAAAAATAAAGAAAAGAAAAGAGAAAGAGGGGCTTGAATTGACGACTTAATTAATGTCTGCGGGCTTTTTTTTTTTGAATGTCATGATTGATTGATGTAGGGTAAATTGAAAGAGGAAAAATAAAGAAAAGAAAAGAGAAAGAGGGGCTTGAATTGACGACTTAATTAATGTCTGCGGGCTTTTTTTTTTTGAATGTCATGATTGATTGATGTAGGGTAAATTGAAAGAGGAAAAATAAAGAAAAGAAAAGAGAAAGAGGGGCTTGAATTGACAACTTGATTTATGTCTGCGGGCTTTTTTTTTTCTGTATGTCATGATCGATTGATGTAGGGTCTTATGTCATATTTTCTTTCTTTTTTTTGGGGGGCAACAGCTCGTGGGTACAGCCAACGTTCGTAATAGGCAAAAAAAACAGAAGTCCGCAAGTCCTGAACTTAGTTCAAAAAGGCAATAATAGCAGTGCCTCCCGTGGAATCCGCCCTGCCTGGGCCCTGGGGCTAGGTCCCACTTGTGCGAATCAAGAGATAGAGACCGTAGATAGCAAAGATCAACGGCCCAAATCTCCTAATCCGTGCAAGTGGGACCTAGCCCCTGGCTGGCAGGGCGCTACAGGACCTCACAACAAAAAGCAAACAAAAAAAATGACATGTCTCATGGTCCTCACATACTGGCCAGATACATTCCTCAAAGCACTGGTGTAACTTTCACCTACGTGAGGGTCTTCCCCACGGTGTGGATTCGAAGTTCCTCTTTTCTCTCTTTTCTTTTTTTCTTTTTCTTTCCTTTTTCTTCTTTGGCTCCATCCCTGCACTGTTGAAATGCAGACCCAGGTTCGAATCCCCTCTAATTCTGAATTGTCTAGGGTGGCCCCGCCACGCCCCGCCACGCGACATCTGGGCTGTGGCCAATCTGGGTGTGGCCTAGACATCTCGGCCGTGGCCAATATTGCTTGTGGCCGAGACATCTTGGCCGTGGGCAATCTGTCTCGGACGTGGCCAATATTGCGTGGCCAATATTGCGTGTGGCCGAGACATCTTGGCCGTGGGCAATCTGTCTCGGCCGTGGCCAATATTGCATGTGGGCAATCTGGGGTGTTGCAAGGCATCTCAGCCGTGGCCAATCTGGGGTGTGGCCGATACATACCCGTGGCCAATATTGCGTGTGGCCGAGACATCTTGGCCGTGGGCAATCTGGGGTGTTTTAAGGCATCTCAGCCGTGGCCAATCTGGGGTGTGGCCGAGACATCTCGGCCGTGGCCAATCTGGGGTGTGGCCGAGACATCTCGGCCGTGGCCAATCTGGGGTGTGGCCGAGACATCTCGGCCGTGGCCAATATGGGGTGTGGCCGAGACATCTCGGCCGTGGCCAATCTGGGGTGTGGCCAAGACATCTCAGCCGTGGGCAATCTGGGGTCTCGCCGAGGCATCTCGGCCGTGGCCAATCTGGGGCTGTCTCTTATACACATCTAGATGTGTATAAGAGACAGAGACAAGGCCGTGGCCCAACCATGTTTGTTCTCCGTGGAAAACGCCCTGCTCGTTGGCAGGGCACGAAATCAAGTGTCAGCAGCAAAAAAAAAAAAAAAACACAAGAAGGAATGAACCGAGCTAATATTCTCGGCAGATGCATTCGTGGAAGCAGCACTGTTAGTGATGTTTATGCCAAATAAGTTTTTTTTTGCCGATTTGAACTTCGACATGAGGACATTGCCAATTAGTGTTTTTTTTGCCGTTTTGAACTAAAAGTGTGACCCAGGAGCAGATTTCTTTTTTTTTTCTTTTTTTTTGCGCTTGATTTATCTGCGTTAGGAAATTGGGACTAGCGAGTGTTTTTGTTTCTGGTAGGTAGGTCGGACCTGGGAGGCTGGGACCGACTCCCACTTACCCAAATTGTTTTTTTCCTCACTCATCTGATTTCATTGGAATTCAAACTCAGGTTTGCATTTGAAGTTTCAACAGTTCATGGGTGTACCAACTGAGCTACCTTCTTCAACTGAATATAATGCCCGGTCATTATAACTGTATCTTGCACAACTTTCAGTGTAGATAAAGCGAGAATGACCGTACGTTCTATTCGGGTGAAGACGGTAGGCCAGTTGATTTGAAACACCTCTACTTCTTAAGTCCTGCCCGAAAAAAAGACGTACGGACTACTACAGAAGCGTCCAAATTCATCTGACACGAGAAATGTTTCTACCTATTTTTCTCTGCGGCTGATAGCTGGGCGAAGTACCGGTGGTTTATTTATCGATTTCTGACTCCAGAGTACAAGGATTGATGACCGGGAACGAGGAATCCCAGCTATTGGGACTTGGCTCCTGCTTGGTAGGTAGGTTCTCATGTTTGTATGTGGTCCGTATCTCGCACATGATGTGTGATGTGCAGGCAGTGGGCAGATCGAGTTTGATATGTTTGGGAAACATTACGTCAGGGACCTTGATGAGAGCGACGTGTATGCTGTGCCAGCTGGACATATGTTCTTCTTCGTCAATCCGAGTAGCTTAGGAGTTTTGAGATTGTTCGGCATGGCCAGTACTGTGGCGCAAAATTTTGGCGGGAAATTTGAGGTATGGCCTGCATTCGTCATCCGAAATTTCTTTTTCTTTTTTTGCTTTTTTTCTGACGTTTTGGATTTTCTCTGGTGATGGGTTGGGATTCGGGAGGAGAAAAGGAAAAGAAGGTTTGGATATGTGGGGGACTTGGGGTATACTCACACGGGGACCTGATTACCAGAAATCCCCCAAATGTGAGGTAATTTGAAAGTCACATTGGGTCCTCCCGCTACCTATTGTACGTTTTGGTGACCCTATTTTCAGTGTGGCCTGCACACGGCCGGAGGACCTGATTTGTGACCACCTCCGGAGGTGGTCTCAAATCCCCTTTCGATTTTCTTAATATTGAGTCATTATGTAATTGCACAAACTGTCTATGGAGAAAACAGCCCACGTGTTATTTAGGTGGTGAAAAAAAAAAAAAAAAAAAATGTAGTCCTTAGATGCCTGTGCACTTCCCCTGAGGTGAAAGAGTCAGGTCTACGACTTTCTCCTTTGTGGACAGAGTATGCCCGTCTGACCACATGAGAACCTGAAGTTCCTAGTAGACGGATACCAAATGCTGCAAAATTGAGGGATAATTGGTGGAAGGAGCCCGCTTCAGAACCATTTTGGTTTTGGGCACCCAGACCTCTCCCATTTGGCGAGATACACCTACCGGAAGACCAGCCTGGCCCAGATACAGGGTCGTGTTCACGACCTGGTAGGAAGGGGCCCACCCTTTGTGACCGCATCTCAAAAAGGTTTTGGCGTGGGCACTTATCTCAAATTTTAAGACTTGTCTTTTGGATTTTGCATGGCAAGTAGCCCTTGTTTGCACACCCTATCGACTGTATCTGGATCTCCTTTTCTCCCCCGCCCTATGAATCCCCCCGGGAGGTGGCCACTCGAGGACTAGGCCGCGACCTTGCGGCCATGAGAAAACAAAAAAAAAATGTTATGCAGAAAAATATACTGAACTTTTTTTTTTTTTTTTTGGAGAAATATAGGATTTCCCATTCCAGTGAGACAAACGGGGCCTGGGAACACACCCCTACATATCAACCCGGTACAGATCTGCTGAGGCCAATACTCAGCTTAGGCTCCTGGAAACCGGGTCCAGTGTCCCTTCAAAAATCTCCAAGAAATAAAAATTGCAAAGCAAATCTATGGCACCCTTGGTCCCTTGCTGCACAGGAATACGCCGGCATGTTTTTAGAATCGAAACACTATTGTCAAAGAAATAGGAGCTATAAACTGCAAATCTCAAAAATGCACAAGGCAATTCATGAAATGAAAATTTTACAATTTAACCCTATGATTATTTCCAAAGGCAGACTAGATCCCCTTCGCGCCCGGGAGAACGTTCCCACCGCCACTCGTGAGTCTCCCACTCCCACTGATGGCGCCGCCACCCACAGGGCTTTACAAACCTCGCAGCGATGTGATCCCTTCATCCTATTAATTTCACAGATTCTACCGTACGGATGTAAGTGACAGATATAAAACAGAAGCAGTTCCAAAAATCTAGTAACAAACAACTCTCAAAGGAAGAAGTGAAATACCCAATAAAATAAAATAAAAACAATACCTACCAAATATCAAACCAAAGGAACAATCTCAATCGCTAAAAGCTGGGAAGGATAGAATAAGCCTTAGGGTCACGCTTGCATCATCGCTGACCAAAACACTGTAAAGAGCCTTTGTTGCCTAGACCGGTTTCCCACCACGCACCCAATGGATACAACTCTAGTTTGCTCTTCACCGGGTCTCTCATATCATCCCAACCGGCGCCGCCACCCACAGGGCTGAGGGCTTTAGGGCTTTACGAACCCCGCAGTGATCTCATCCCTTCATCCTATTAATTTTACAGATTCTACCGTAGGAATGTAAATGAGACAGATGTAAAACAGAAGCAGTTCCTACGTAGACAACTTCTCAAAGGAAGAAGTGAAATACCCATTCAAAATTCCAAAAATCTACCAAATGTCAAACTAAAGCAACAATCTCAATGGCTATAAGCTGGGAAGAAAGAATAAGGCTTTAAACCACCAGTACCTCGCTCAGCTATTGAATCCGAGCCTCCCAGCACGCTGCGCGCCAAGTCCTGCCGAACTGCCGTCGCAATTTTCTTTTTCGTTTTGCCTGCAGCCTCCAGCCAATGCGGTCCGGCAGGCCGAAGCCCAAATGGCGTGGTGCGTATACGGGAAGCCCCGTGGCCGATAGCTGGGCCAGGTACTGGTGGTTTAAGTTAGGGTTACGCTCTCATCATTGCTTACCCAAAACACTGCAAAGAGCCTTTGTTGCCTAGACCGGTTTCCCACCACACACCCAATGGATACAACAGTCTAGTTTGCTCTTCACCGGGTCTCTCATATCATTCCAACCCCGTGACTTATACCCCAGCACTTTTAAGAACATCGAGAAACTATGAACGAACATGTACTTCTGGAAAGTTACAACATCAACCCTGCATTGTGGAGATGTTGGGTTACGCGGACGCTGACCTCTTTCACAAGGCGCCTACCGTGTCAGCCACCATAGCTGTGTGAGAGCTACGGCAAGTTGGCAACAGTGCCCTGGCATAGCCTAGACTCGGGAGTGCTTTGCACTCTTACACCATGGCATCCTGGCAGCTCCGTAGCTGACCTCCATACCAACCTGCACACCTTATAGGATCTTGACACCAGAGGATCCGCCCTTCCCTCATGCCTTCTGCTGAAAAGTGGGGGCTCCTTTCTCACCATCCAAAGGCCGCGCGCTGTACTTCACGACAAGCCATCCCGACTGCCTCGACCACTAGGAAAGCATGGAAGGCGGAGCGGCGCGTCTGGACGCAGTGGGAGAGCATGCGGCTGCGGTGGCAGCGCTCCGGCATGTCCAAGGGCTTCAGCAAGTCTCGTTTGACCTATCTTCGTCGCAAGGCAGTCGGATGTCCATTTACGTCATGTTCTGGATTTCACCTAATTCAGGTGTTGCTTTGGTCCTCTACGTTCTGTTTAGCGGGCCTGCAATTCATTTCTAGGCCAATCTTGCCACATGAATCTAACGCAAATATGGAGGCAGGTTCGTTCTGAAATGCCTGTAGCACAGATACACACACACACAGACAGTGAGTGAGAGAGAGAGAGAGAGAGAGGGCAACAGCGGGAATAGGGGGCAGGAGCAGGCTCAGCAGGGTCGGGCGGCCATGGAAGGAGCGAGAGCAGGGTGGGGAGGCCCTTCGAGATCACACATGCCATGATGCTCTGACGCTACCTGCGACCTCTGTATCTCTTGCTCCCTTCTCACTCCTGCTGCCTCCCGCTCCTCCCATGGCCGCCCAACCCTGCTCCCATTGGCCCCTGCAGCTCCCCCCTATTCTCTCTCTCTCTGGTGCACAGAGAGAGAGAAGAGGGTGCATGTGTGCACGGCAACGGCCCTTTCTTTTTCATACAGAATGATACAATCAATCAATCGATCAATTCTGCAACGTTTTTTTTCTTTTTCATACAAAATGATACAATCAATCAACCAATCAATCTGTTTCTTCATTCTTTGTTTCTTTCATACAATCATAAATCAATCAATCACTCATCAATCCATATTCTCTTTAATTCGATCCCCCATACAAAATCACCAATAAAAGATCTTTTTTTTTCCTTTGTTTGTCCCAGAGGGTTGGGACGGGGTTCCAAAACCACACTCTTCATCCCGAATGGCCGAGAACCCCCCCGTGGTGGCTGCCACGTGGCAATCACGACTGTGACCATGCCCTCCCGGCCATGACTGGGAACACCGGGCACAACCGGCTCAGGCCCAGTCCCCCGTTGGGGGGACACATAGGTCGTCGGCATGCCACTGTAGCTTCTCGCATGTAGCAACCACATAACCTGTGACATCTGTCTGCAACTGCAAGAATTGGATGTGGTGTTTCCAGTCCACACCAGAACCGGTTCTGTCCGGTCAATATCCGCTCCTCGTACAATACTAAAACAAGTCTCCATGCTTACGAATGGCACAGAAAATAGTCGAAATAAAAGTTGATGAAAAGATCTGCTGAAAATTGAACAGGAACATTTGTCCCCCATCACCCCTAATATAGACTGTTATGGCCCACAGTTGCGGGCAGCTTGCATTCAAACAACATGCTAAAGATTTATTGACATCGTAAGGATTTATACATGTAAAAAAGTAAACTCCTCCAAATCAGTCTAAATGGTGACAATGCATGCAAATGAGCATAAATGAGAGAATACACAAAATGAAAGCTAGTCAAAGGGACAATTGTTCAAATGCCCCTGAACGTACGGGTATTTCATCAGATTATTCACATACCCCTAAAAGGCATGGGTGTGGCAAAATGCATGATAATGGTGAAACTTTGGACTTGTCATCTTTTGCATATACCCCTACTGGGCCCTGGGCAACTTGTCTATATGCCTGCAAACAGCAAAAGAAATGGTCGGTCCCCTACTGGGGCCCAGGGTCAGGGTATATGCCAAACCTCTGTGCATGGGATGGGGGCAGATGCAGAAGTTTGGGGCATTTCAGCGCAGTGTCTACCCCATAAACGTGACCGGGGCCAGTCAGTGAATGGTGACCGGGCAGTCATAGACTCATAGGCCCCTCGACCCGGGAACGGCCATTCACAGTAACCAGCCAAACCATGATAGCCTTCAACTGTTCACCCCCGTAATGACTGTGAAAAAAAAATAAAAAAATCGAAAGGAACTATAAAACACCTACAAACTAACAAAAATGTTCATGCTGGCTGGTTCCCTGATTTTTTTTTTTTTTCTCAATTTTCGTGAAAAAAATAATGGAAAATTTAGGGGGGGCTACGCTCCGATGAGACCCACCCGTAAAAAAAAACTTACACCCAAAAAAAAAAAAAGAACCTTTCCATTCCGCTGCCGTGACCACCCGCCGGTCAGGATTTCTATGACCAGTGATCGTGGTCCGGTCACACACACCCCTGTTCATGAACGGGGGTACAGCACTGCAGCCAAAAAAAATAAAAAAAACCTTTCCACTCTGCTGCCGTGACCACCCAT